TGGTGCCAGGGGGTCGAGCACCCCGCACAAAGCCAGCCCCAAATGCAGGACTCGGGGCCCCGTGGCAGCTCCCCCAGCCCTTCCCTGCCCCCCGGCAGCTCCTGCTCCCCGTGGGAAGCGGCTCCCACGGCTTGGCCACGTCCTTCCTCTTGGCTGCCGAGGCGAGGGATGAATCCTGGGTGTTTTCCATCATCCCAGCGCCCGAGGGAGGATTTGTGCCACCTTCCCGCCTGTTCCTGGTGGCTCAGAGGGCCCCGTTCATTCCCGCTGGGACGAGGAGGGTGAGGAGGGCCCAGCCGTGCCCCGGGCAGGGATTTGGGGCAGCCAGATCCGGGAGACAGAGCCAGAGCCCCCAGGAAGGGATTGGGATCCTGGATCAGGGAGATAATCCCCAAACGCCCCCGTGGGGAGGCAGAAACACCTCATGGCATGAGGGACCTCTTTGTGCTGCTCCAGCAGCCACAGGTTCCTCATCCCACTGATTCATTAATCCTAAATGGGCCCAGAATCCCCCTAAAACCCTCCTGGGAAGCACCGCGGGCTCCGGGGTGTCCATGGAATGTGCTGGAGCTGCTGATGTCCCTGTGGAGAGCTGGAGGAAGATGTCCCAGCGTGTCCCCAACCCCATCCCTGTCCCAGTCTGGTTCCCAGTGGGATGGGACCGGCCCCGGGTGTCCCAGGGGTTGGTGACACCCCCAGGGGTGGGTGACATCTGCCAGGGGTGGGTGACACCTCCAGGGGTGGTCCCTGAGCTCAGCTCAGGTGTCCACAGCCCCCTCCAGGCTCTCCCAGCTACTCCCGGGTTTATTCCTGGGCCAAGCCAGGGCCAGGCAGAGCCAGGGCTGGAACGGGAATGGGAACGGGAACGGGAATGGGAACGGGAACGGGATGCCACCCCCCAGCAGGGACAAAGCCACCGTCATCCCTTCAGGGACTTTATTGTGTCCCCACCCCCTTCTAGTGCAAGCGACCAAAGTGCAAGTGACGTCCCCAAGGGCTGGGGACACATGGAGACACATCCCCCAAGGACTGGGACACGTCCCCAAGGGTTGGGGACACATCCCCAGGGGCTGGGGACACATTCCCCAAGGGTTGGGGACACGTCCCCAGGGGCTGGGACACGTCCCCAAGGGTTGGCGACATGTCCCCCAAGGGTTGGGGACACATCCCCAGGGGCTGGGACACATCCCCAAGGGTTGGGGACATGTCTCCAAGGACTGGGGACACGTTTCCAAGGGCTGGGGACACGTTCCCAAGGGCTGGGACACATCCCCGCCACAGGCCCTGAGCGAGCCGCAGGGCCGGGGGACAAGGGAGGGACAAAAACTGGGACAAAATCCCGAGGCCTGGAGGTTTTTCTGTGCCAAACAGCCACACGTGCACACCCACACACGCACACGTGTCACACGCGTGTCCAAAACGTCCGTGGGACACCCGGCCAAGGTGCCACCTCCTCCTGAGGTGGCCTCCGGTCACCCAGTGGGAGCCGGGGGTGCCGAGGTGGGGAGCGGCTCCTCCCCGGAGCCGCTGCTGCTGGAGCGCCCACGGAGCACGGAGCCTGCAGGGGGGACATGGAGGGGACACGGGGAGACACGGGGGGGACACAGAGGGGACACGGGGAGACACAGAGGGGACACAGAGGGGACACGGGGGGGACACAGGGGGGACACAGGGGGGACACGGAGGGGACACGGGGGGGACACGGTGGACAAGGTTGGGACACGCTGGCACCGAGCAGCCGTGCCCCCCAGGAGGGTGGGGAAGACCCCAACTCACTCCTTGGGATCCTGAGGGAGAGATGGGGAGCATCATCATCATCCTCCTCATCATCGTCATCACCGTCCTCCTCCTCCTCGCTCAGCACCTGCGGGGGCAGGGGGTGGGTGCGGGGCTGAGCGTGTCACCGCTGCGGCGACAAAGGTGTGGCACCGCCCCCGCGTGTCCCTCGTGTCCCCACGCGTGACCCGGCCCGGCCTGTGCGTGACTGAGCCCGCGGCTCCCCCCGGCTCGCCCCGGGCCGGCCCCGCCCGAGCCTCTGAATCATTTAAACCTTAAAAGCCTGCGGAGCTCCGGGGACATTTCCCGCTCCAGCTCCTTCCCCGCGCCAGCCGGGGGGGCCTTCCTCGCCCTTCCTCCTCCTCCTCCTCCTCCTCACCTCCTCCAGCTCCAAGGCCTCCGCCGCTCCTGGGGGCTCGGGGGCCTCGGGGACCCTCCCGGGGGGCTGCAGCCCCGCGGCGACCCCGGGGCGGCCCCGAGAGCCGCGGCCGGAGCCGCTCGGGGGTCGCGGCCCCGCGGGGCGCTCGGGGGTGACCCCGACCCCGCCGGCGCGTGGGGGGGACACGGCGACATCGCCCCGCGTGTCCCCCGTGTCCCCCCGCGCTGCTCTCGCCGGGCACGGAGCCCCCCCGCGCCCCCGAACCCCCCGTCCGTGGAACCGGGAGCGCTCGGGGTGTCCCCACGCCGGGGGCGGCCCCGGGGACCACGGGCACCGCCCGGGGCCGGTGTCGCCGTGTCCCCCCCCAGTGTGGAGGCACAGCGAGGACACGGCGCGCTTCAGGCGCTCCCCGGGCCGCTCGGCGCTGTCGGCGATGTCGCGACAGGGCAGGGGGGCTGCGATGCGCCGCACGGGGGTCCGCGACACGTGGGAGTAGAGGCAGAAGAAAGCGTCGGCGGTGGCAGCCAGGGCCTGGACCTGCTGGAAGCGACCTGCGGGCCACATGCGGGGGGTCGGGGGGGCTCGGGGAGGGTCCTCCCAGCTCCCTCCTGGGGAAACTGAGGCACGGCCGCGGTTTCCCACCGCCGATAGGAGCAGTTAGCGCGTCCCACCCCACAGTTCCCGCCCGGGGAAACTGAGGCAGGCGAGCGTTTCCCATCCCCGGCAGAGGGCGGCTGGCGGGCCGGGGACAGCGGGGACAGCGGGGACAGCGGGGACACGCACTGGCCAGCAGCAGGCAGGGGTCCTCCATCTCCAGGCGCCGCGCTTGGGCCCGCAGGAAGAGCCCGAGGTCGATGCCGCTGGCGCGGGACGGGGCCGAGAGGAAGCGGGGG